ACTCCACCATGAAGCCCTGAAGGAAAGCTCCTGGAAGACAGGGACTGTTCCTTCATCTTTCTGAGCCCAGGGTCTGACACAAGCGAGGACTGCCAGCGAGGTCAGAGAAGAGGACGCAGCCTGAACAGAGCGAGGCAGTTGGAGGTGTCAGAGGAGAGCGGGCTGAGAGGGGTGGTGGAAGGAGGGGATATAGGGGCTGAGGGAGGTGACAGGGTAGACGGGAAGAGCTCAGGGCTGAGGAAGTCCCCACACAAATGCACGGTGTGGGGACTGATGGCAGAGAATTTGGAAAAGCAGAACTGCACACACATCTTTAAAAATTCAGCCCTTAGAGACTATCCAGCCCCAAACCCTCCTTAATGGGGAGGAAAATAAATGTCTGGGTGGGAAAACATTTGCCCAATAATCTGCAGGGAGTTAACAGCCTGCAGTCAGGACTGAGTTCGACTACTGGTTAGAAGCTGTGTGAGCCTGGGCTAGTTAGTTTCTCATTCTGAGCCACAGTTTCCTCATTGATAAAAATGGCAATTGTAAGAATTAAATGAGGTAATGCATGTACAGTCGGCTCCATGTGCCTGGGTGTGGGAAGGAGGCTCCGTGGATGTGACTGGGCTTTCCCTTCTTCTCAAGCCCACCGTATTTGTCCTCCCCTGTGTAGGAGGCTACACTGTGACCAGAGTGGTCAAAAGTCATAGGGTTATCTGCTTGGGTGCTTGGGGATGGTCAGTTATGGAGCTGGGAGCTTTTGAAATGTGGGTAAGGCTATGCTCTTATCAACCACTCAGTTGAGAACCGGAAAAAAAAAAAAAAATCGGTGTCAGCCTCAAGAAGGAAGGAAAAGTAAAAACGGGAAGTAAAAGGAAGGATAGAAAAGCTGATAGTTCAGAAATCTAGAAACAGCTTGGCTTCAGTCTTCTGCAGGGTGTGGAAACAACACTGGCCAGGGGATCGGGAGCCTTCTCTGGTCCCGAGTGCTGTCACAAAGACACTGAATTTCTCCTCTGTCCACCCATGCCTCGGCTTCCTCATAGACCGAAGGAAAGGAAAGGATGAGCTAGCTGCCCTGCCAGGTCTCTACCAACCGGGAGGTCTGTGTTTGGACTAGAGAACGCTCTCCTTTGCAGTCCTGGCCAGTGTGGAGGGGAAATTCACTTCCCTTTCCCAGCTCCCACCTCGTGCACCTTGGGGATTTCACACAACACAGAGGCTGCTCTCAGGGAGCTGGGGCTTTCTTGGTCACCCTTGTTTATAGTTTCCTTAAAACTCAGAGACAAACCACCCCTTAACTCAGGCACTGTTGGGAAGGGGAATCTGCCTTTTAAAAATCCAAAGGAAGCCATTAAACCAAGTTGGTAATCACTGTGACTCAGGATAAGCTTTCCTCTGTAAAAAATGAGTCAGAGTGACTTTCCAGGAAGTTTGGTTACTTTAATTAGCTGTGTCCCTTTTTTTCTTGCCCTTAAAAACATGCAGTAATCTGACAGTCACCTAAGCAAGGATGCTACCAGCCACCAAGCTGAGCCACTAGAAATGACGGATCTGGGAGTGGAGGCGTCCTGGCAGGTGAACTAAAGGGTCTCCTTGGAGTTGAGGAGGACCCACACAGAATTGTTCCCTGAATGGTGGAAGGAACAAAATCAACACTGTAGGGTTGATCCACTTGGCCTGCGTGAAGGCGAGAAGGGCACCCCAGCTACCTGCAGCCCCAGAACACTTAGCATCAAGTCTCGTTGTGTATATTACAGAATCTTAACGATGCCATTAGAGGAAACGATGACCACAGCTGTCATGTGCCAAGCACTGTGCTAAGGGCTTTAAATATCTCAGCTAACTCTCAACCCACTCTCTAAGATGGACATTAATTGTCCTCTTTAGAAGAGATGAGGCTAAAGTAACTCATCAGATCACATAAACCAGTCAGCAGCAGAGCTGTGATTCTTACTCCAGGCCTGTTTGATTCTAAATCCATACTCTTCAAAGGTCATCTGTTCCTGCCTGCTAGGGAAGCAAAGGGGCTGGTCCAAGGTCACATTTTGAACTGGCAGACACTGAGATGACACTCGTATTCTGAAAGTCCCAGTTTATGTTCAGACTCTTTCTCCTTCAACCTAGTCTGTGCAAAAAGCTCCCACAGTCCCAGACAGGAGGCCAGAACTCGCTGAGATTGCCTGTAACGCCTTAACCTTCCTAATTCCCACCTAGGTTCTGAACTCCCTCTGTCTCCCGGATCGCTTTTCAGGGTTTCATGTAGGTCCTTCTCACTCCTGACACAGTTGTCTTGACTTGGTCCCATAACTAATAACAGAGCACCAGAGCTATCCTGTGAAGTGTGGACTTCCACCCTCATGGACACTCTCTCAGCTGTGTCACCACATACCTGGGGCAATATACCTGGCCCAGGTGAACAGAGTCGGCTCTAGCCAGCCTGCTACTGGGAAAGGGTGACTCAACTTCTGAATCAAGGCTTCTGGACTCTGGTTTTTCTCTAGGGAAGAGTTCAGAGCAGAGATGTACCTGTTACTACTCATCAGGTTGAACTGATATGAAAGCCTTGCTGGAGTTCTAGAGATTAAAGGGAATTTTCTTCACAACCGGGGAGAACAGATACCCCACTCCACAGACCTTTAGTAAAACATACTCAGCTAATAAATCAGCTGACAAATGGTTGCAATTGGCCCACTCTCTCCAAGCTTAACTGTTCCCAGACACAAAGCAAAATATAAAACATGTACCACTACCCGTGTAAACAGACAGTTTCAATACTAAATTGAGGGCGGAGGGGCAGAAAAGTTTATGGTAAATGTATGCTGCAGATGCCTCCACAAGACCCCCAATTATCGTGTCCCTGATCCTGAGTCTTTTAGCTTCAAGCATGGAACATAGACCGCACCTGAAGACTTGGGAAAAGATTTTAGCTCTGGGGGACATCGATTCTCTTCCACTTCTAATTTCTATGCCTCTAATGATCCAGATGAAAGACTAATTGAGGTCTTGTTGGGATACTATTAAAGTTATTTGGTGGTGTTACAATTTATGCTTATCTTTCTTCAAGTACTTTTTAATTATATGGAGCTTTCAAAGCAAGGTTTGGACTATGGAGTTAAAAGAGAGAGCTAGGGGCTTCCCTGGTGGCGCAGTGGTTGAGAGTCCGCCTGCCGATGCAGGGGACACTTCCTAGAAGTCCCAGATAACATTTCCCTTTTCATTCTTTGTTGGAAATAAGATGAAGACAGCTTTTGTTCTGGAGGCTGTATGCCTAACTAAAAATTAGTGGGGTTTGTTACTAAGTAGAAGGGGAAAACAGGATATTGAAAGTCAACCAGCAGTTTTTGTCAGTTTGAAAACATTTCACTGAATTTTTGAGCAAGGGACTTTAAAATCATTCCATCCAAATCTTTTTCACAGATGAGGAAATGAACTTTCACCGAAGTTAAGTGATTAGTTATGATCCTGTAGTGATAGAATCATGATTAGAACCCAGGTTTTTGGACCACAATTTGATATTTTTGATGTTCACCTAACCTATAAAATTAAATTAGAAATGGTGGCTTAAGAAAAGAATTCACTTAAAACGTCTTCAGTTTATTTCCTGAAGTTCTACTTATTTAAATGTGAAGAGCCACACAATATAACATTCTCCTGTACAAATCTCAAGGCTGAGGTATAAACACATCCATTCATTATAATGTCATACTCATCCTTAAATGTATTAAATGGAAAAAATGAAACCATGAAAAAAAATCCCTAAAATAGGTGCATATTTATCTCCTCTTGAGTTGGAGAAAACCTTTCCAAGCATAAAAGAAATGGTAGCAAAAGAGGGGAAGAGATGAGGGACTTCCCTGGAGGTCCAGTGTTTAAGATTCCATGCTTCCATTGCAGGCGGCACGGGTTCGATCCCTGGTCAGAGAACTGAGATCCTGCATGCCACACGATGTGGCCAAAAACAAAACAAAACAAAACCAAAGATAACAAAAAAAAAAAAAAAAAAAAAAAAGGGAGAGAGCTATGAAACTTTCTTCTCAACCCTTTCCCTCTCCTCTTCCTTTTATTCACAAAGCAAAGTCATCTACAGGCACCAAGCCCTCCTTTCTGGGTCTCTTTGCCACCCATGTGCATGTAATTTGGAAGAGGAACACTTGTACATGGGCCTCTTTGATTAGTTCCTTGAGTAGGATTATTGAGAAATCTGGGGTTAAAAGGCCTTAGTTCCCATCTACCAGAGACGCCTTCTGTCAGTCAGTAGCAGCTGGGAACACAGCCTGCTGCTTCTAGGGGTCTTGAAAAAAAAAAATGGTACTGATGAACCTAGCTGCAGGGCAGGAATAAAGATGTAGACGTACAGCATGGACTTGAGGACATGGGGTGGGGTGGAAGGGGGAAGCTGGGGCGAAGTGAGAGTAGCATCAACATATACATCGAATGTAAAATAGTTGGCTGGTGGGAAGCAGCAGCATAGCACAGGGAGATCGGCTCGGTGCTTTGCGATGAGCTAGAGGGGTGGGATAGGGAGGGTGGGAGGGAGGCTCAAGAGGGAGGGGATATGGGGACATGTGTATGCGTATGGCTGATTCGCTTTGTTGTGCAACAGAAACTAACAGGGTATTGTAAAGCAATTATACTGCAATAAAGATCTATTAAAAAAATAGTAAAAAAAAAAACTAAAAGCAAAAAAATAAATGTTACTTAAAAATGAAAAAGAAAAAAAAAAGTGAATCTCCTCTCTAACTTCTTGTTTGTTTCTAAGGATCTGGCCCTTTCCTAGCCCAGTTTCAGAGGCTTTGTTCCGTTGTAGACCAATGTCTACTGTTCAAAGGCTCCAGGGTCATACCCCCTGTCTCTAGGGAATCCCTTCATTTCCTAAGACCCAGCCTTTGGGTCTGGTTGGCTGAAAGACCAAGCCAGAAGAGATACCACATTATTCCATTATTCGATGAATTCCAGTAACTCTGTCCTGCCCTTGCTTTTCTGTTTCATTTCCCAGAAGAGAAGCCCCTTACCTGTCTCCACCTGGCTGAGAGCACTTCGAGCAACTGTAGAATGTGCCGTGTCCCCACTCATCTTGATATCTGCAGGAAAACACAACTGATTTTAGTAACAGGTCACAATTTTTCTCGCTATGACATATGTGGCTTTAACCAAACAGCAAAGATGAACGTGTAATTACAACAAGCATCAGACTTTCAAATTCCTGATTCCTAAACATACAACTCTTAGAATATTCATAAGCTCGGGGCACATATCCCCTCGTCCCAGACTTGCCTCCTTTCCCCCTTTCTCCAGCGCTACTGCAGGGTGTCTCCCCTTTGCATCATTCACTGCCACTTCCTTCTATCACCAGGCTCAGTTGGTAAAAATTTAACAAGGGGAAGGGTACAGCGGAGGGAGGGGAATGGGGGAGAATGCTCCTCATTCTCCATCCTCATTTCCTTTGGGATTTGGGGAATGTCTGTTATTTTTTAAAGTAGCATAAGAGATATCCGTCTCCCATCCTCCCCCTCATAATAACTCTACCTTGAGAGGTAAGAGCACCCTTGAACCACGGCTTGCCCTTCTCATCTTTTTTAGCCAATCCTGCCTCTGTTCTCTGCCTGATTCTCAGAGGTCAACCCACTGTCTGGTGATCAAATCCTAGTTCCTGTGTGGCCCTCCTTGGGAACCCTTACCTTCTCTCCTACTCCTTCAATGTTCTCAGTAAGAAAGGGATGGTGGGCGGGTCAGTGTCCCGCGGAGAGAGAAGACCTACACAAGGCCCCCTGTCTCAGCCCCCAAGTGCTGCGGGTCTGGCCTCTCTGCCCTGCTTCATTTCAATAAATTAAACATTTACCCACAACAGACAGCTGCCACTGCCTAAGAGGCCCCTAAGTCTCCTCAAGGGTCAGCAAAGAGAAGGAAACAGACAACTTTGAGCTAACTCACTCTCAGCTCCTCTCCTTATGAAACCACCCAAATACTGAAGCCGTTAAAGACAGAAGAATATTTTATTCAAATCATGTTGGACCCCCCCCCCCCC